CCTGCACCCCTCCTCCACCCACCTAAGACTGGGAGGGAGATTGGGTGCTAATGCAGGCTCTCAGAGTGAGTTGGGTGCAGAAGGAGTTCTGGTGTGCTGGCTCTGGGATGGTGTGAGGTGACCAGCCAGCAGGTTGAAAGGCAATATGGGTACAGGAGCAAGTCAGGGGTGCAGGCTCTGACCTGAAGCAGGGGGTTGGCTCCGGGAAGAAGTTTAGGGGCAGGAGGGGGATGGTGAGTAGTGGGTGTCATGCTCCTGTACCAAATATACAGTAGCTACAGAGTTTGCTTATACACACTGAATATGTTCATTGTAAGATCCTGCAATGCTCTGCCACACTGCAGCTGAGATTAGTTTAAGGTGTTTCCTGCACTGAGCTACCTAGTGGCTGCACCATAATACAGTTCAGCATTCCATAACATCTCCCTTGTTAAGTTCTACATTCCTATCATTTACAATATTTACGCTATCACACTGTCTTTGAAGTTCAGGGTGTATCAGTCTGTTAAGTGTCTCTAAATCACATTGCTTTTCTGAGTATAGGAACTGAATGTGTAATTTTTTTCTTAACAGTTGAAGTTCTCCATTGCTTTTCTCCATCCAATTTGACACAAACAGCATCACAGTTCTAAACCCAACAGTTCTCTAACTGAATGACGTCTGTTGTAAAAGCTCTTTCTGCCATTTTTATGCAAATTGGCTACTCTCTTCACGTCCGGCCATGTTGTAGATAGAATTACTGCTCCAACTTTTTCTGAGTTGTCTTTCCATCAGGAAATCTCCTGCACTATACTCAAGAGTTGCTGTTGGTATTGAACTATAACTCAGAAAAGCAAGTAATAGACCAGGGGTAGGCAATAAGATGGTGGCAGTTCACCAAGGCTAGCCTGTAGTAGCCTGCCAGCACTGTATTTACCTGCACCTCCACAGGTGTAGGAAACTGTAGCTCCTGTTGGCTGCAGATTGGCTGGGAATGGCAATGAGAGCTGTGGGAAGCAGCAAGGAATTGTAATCTGCTTCCCATAGCTCCCATTAGGTGGGAATGGTGATTTGTCCCAAGGGAACTGCAGTCACCCATACTGTGGGTATACAGACAAATGCAGCAGCCCACCAGGGACTAAATTTATCCAGCTTATGGGTCAGTATTTGCTCACCACTGTGATAGACCCTCTTGGCTATCTGTATAGCTTCTCATTCTCCTTTTACTTGTGGGGAGTGTGGACTGCTGCTACTAATATGATCATAACCATATTTCATTGGGAATGACCTAACTTTTGCTGCAGTGTACTGTGGTCTATTGCCCATCACAAGTTGTTCTGGAGTATCAAATGAGCAAAAACATACTTCAAGCTTCTCAATAAAATGCAAAGTGTTATTTCTCTCCAATACATCACTGCTACATATCTGCAGAAATAGTCACAATGACCAGGTAATGATGCCCTCTTAATTTGTGTAAAACTGCAACTAGTACCTCCCAAGATTTCTCTGATAGGTGTGTTTCTATTTTTCAACATTGTCTCCCTCGCTGATTTGTACTGGATCTCCTTTCCAAAGTTCAGAATCATCAGATCCTCTGTTGAGGCCTTTCACCTTTCTCATTAGGCTTTTCATGACTTCCACACGATGCCTGAGAAGACTGTTGGTCTTTGATCACATGCACTCTGAATGCATAGATTTTATCTGTGTCAGTCATTTCTGTGGTGAGCTGGCCCATGAAGTTCAGAATACCTCTAAGGCTAGTCCAAGCTGAGTCTGGAAGGTGTTGAAGGTGACTGTAAGTAGCTTCAGAGCTTGCTTATCCACACCACCTGTATTCCTCATAAGATCCTTTAAAACTCTTCCAGGTATGGTTGAGGGTCATTTAAATAAGATATTTTGCCCATGATGCCACCTAGTGGCCAAACAGTATAATACAATTTTGAGGGGTGGAGGGCTTGAAAGTCACAGGGAAGTACGTAGTTTGGTTCGGCCTCTTGTTCACAGGACTTCAGGGAAAAGTTAATAGGTACTAGAGCGCTCAAAAAGCTGGGGTTCCAGGTGCAAATATTCTCTGTTCCCTGAGGTTTACTCAAAAGGGAGAATGGCCTCTGGGACCACTGCTGCAAAGGTAAATTGGGCAGGAACTGTAGGTTGTCTCAATATTGTAGTATTCAGGGGCTGAAGAATATGGCTGGATTCCAGCACACAGAGCTCAAGTGGTTACTGTCCTAGCACATCAGTATGTGATGAAGTGACTTTTGGCTTGATATAGCTTCTGAGTTGTGTCTGCATCTCCCTGACCATTTCCAATTACCATTTGGCTATGGTAATTCTTTCTCTGATAACTATAATGCTGTCCTCTGACACGGTCACAGTCTTGCTTGTGAGCTCCATTTCTTTCTCCTGGTTGTATCTTCAATATTGTCTCCACTTCCCACTTTGAGGTGGGAGAGGGAATACTGCTGTAAGGTCTGAAAACGTCTCATCCTGAGTCTGTCTTTTTTACCCTCTCAGATTATCCAGGCACTCTGCATTTGATAGAGGCCTTGTCCTGGATGGTCTGTTCATTGCAGGTGCCATGGCTTTTGGAGCATGAAAAAAATTTGATTTATTGTTTTCCATATGGGCCATGATAGAATTTTTTTAATAGGTGTGTGACTATACCTCCCTGGGATTCTTCCCAGTATTGGGGACCCTCAGAGATGCATGCAGTGTGTGTATGGGGAATGTGCCAGTTTGAAAAACACCCATCTTACTGTTTTTCCCATGCTGCCTGAGATGAGACTCTGCACAAGTATGTTGACATAAGGTGGGAATCATACCCTTAGCTGACAGTGTACATGTACCCAGACCACAGCATCTGTCTTGACTAGAGCAGTGGCTCTCAACCTTTTTGGACGACTGTACCCTTTGCATGCCTCAAGTTTCACATGTCACTCAAAAACTACTTGGTTACAAAATCAAACATAAAAATACAGAAGTGTCACAGCACACCATTACTGAAAAATTGCTCACTCATTTTCACTATATAATAAAATCAATTGGATTATAAATATTATACCTACATTTTAGTTTACAGTATATACAAGTCACTGTATCAAATGTTAAAAGTTTTAGAGGGGTAGCTGAGTTAGTTTGTAACAGGAAAAACTTTTTAAAAACCACAAATGGTCCAGTAGCACCTTAAAGACTAACCAAACATGTAGATGGTATCATGAGCTTTCTGAAGAAGTGGGTTGTGCCCATGAAAGCTCATGATACCATCTACATGTTTTGTTAGTCTTGAAGGTGCTACTAGACTATTAATTTTTGTAATGAAATTTTAGTTTGTATGACCACATTAGAGAATTGTATGTAAGCAAACATTGAGATGAGCTGATGTACCCCTTAGAATGGGTGTGGGCGAAATATGGCTTATGGGCTGGATCCAGCCCACTAAACATTCAGATCTGGCCCATCCCAATCTTCTTGGCCACCAATGTCCCTCAGTCCAGTGGGACCCTCAGGCAGGCTCCCTACTTGCTGCAGCCTCACAGACACACACTGACCACTGCTGGGTTATCTCTGTGCAGAGCATCTCTTTGGGAGAAAGAGATCACCAGCACCCCAGCACACTCCTTGCAGCTCTCATTGGCCAGAAACTGGCTAATAGGAGCTGACTGGGCCATGCTGTGTGAAGCCCACCTCCTTCCAGGGCATGTGCCACACAGAGACACCCACACTGGCCCCACCAGCCAGCTGCTTGAACTGCTGTGTGGTGGCACAGCATGTCCTGAGAGTCCTACTGGCTGCTGGTTGGGAGCTGTCTGAGGTAAGCACCTCCCAGCCAGAGCCTGCACCTGGTACCCCACTCCCACCTACACCCCCAACGTCCTGACCCAGATCACAATCCCTTCCTGCCCCAGGTTACAACACCCCACACTCCTGCACTCCAAACCTCTACTCCAAGCGCCTTTTTGCGCCCAACATCCATCTCAGACCCCTCCGATCTTCCATTAAAATAATAGAATAGTGCCGCCCTTGACATCAGGGATAGGGAACCTCTTTTGGGTTGGGTTCTACCCTTATATGGAAACTTGTTATCCAAAGATCAAAATGTGCTTTAAAATATACACTTACTATACATGTGACAAATAGGCATTTTATAGAAAAGGAAACAGGTATACAGACACTCATCCAAGAAAGGGTGACAGAGCCAGGAAAAGAAGAATCTTGATCTCCTAATTTCTAGTTCTATACCTGTCTCACGAAAACTTATCCTTCACTTCTCATTGCTTAGCAAATGTAAGGATGTGCATTCACGTGCTCTCACAGTAAAAACCAACCAACCAACACAAATCACTACTGCCATAAAATTCTCACTGATTTATTTTTTAAATAACTGATACAGAGCAGCTGCATTCAGAACTAAATGAAAAACTCGATTAAAATAGTGCATTAGATACAATAGTTGTGTGAATACAATTACTTGGCTTTTTTATACACAAATATCAGACTATATGGAAATGGTTGCAGATTGTTGGGCTTATTCATGCAATGGATGCATTTGTGCAAGCAGTCCAATATTTCATAAAGATTATAGTGTATAGGCTGTCCTATGTTTTAGACCACTGTCTCTAATTGGTCCATGGACCAACTCAGATGGGGTCTTTTATTTTATTTTTTTTGCAAGTCATCTAATTATTGTTAGAAATCTCTATGGGATTGATTCTGACCCATTTCAAGAGAAACACTTCTGAACGCACTGAAGTTCTGTACTGCAAAATGGAGCTCAGGACTGAGTCCTGTTTGCCTACACATTTCTAAATATGGCATGCTCCAAAAGATTCTAGGATTTCCAAGTATAATTTCCAGAAATTCTAAGTGTAAATGTGATAATCTTTGATTTGATACCAGATTTCAAGGAACTCCTTTAACCACACCTTTTGATTCAGCATTTTCCTTTAGTTAGAAAAGATGCACTACCTTGAATAAAGACTCAATGCTTTTTTCTATGTAAGTGACTGCATCCATTTCAGTCAAACCACAAGCATGACTTCCAAACCAGATGGCAGAAGTGGCAAATTGACAAATAGGAAATACACTACAAATAGAATTGACAACAAAAGTGAAGGGAAGCTAGAAAGGGAAAGTAGTTTTAGTTCTTGTAACTTTGAGCAAGACGAACAGAAGGGATTTGAAGATCCTGACTATGTTTCAGAAAATATACACTACCTTAGCAAAAGCCAACTTCAGGAAAAGATTGATAAGAATGAAATCAGCACCCTGCTTGCTCTGATGGCTGCTGTCATGGTAGAGATCAATTTGTTTTAATGAATTGGAAGGGAAGCGGTAAGAAGAATTAAGTGAGATTCTTTTGCCTTACCACTGGCACGTATTTCTCTACGTCTGTTAAAGAAAACAATAATATGAAGTCCTTAAGCACAGCCGCCACCTCCGCCTTGCAGAGGTGGAAGGGGGTGCAGGTGCTCAGGCTGCATAGGGCACCAGAATTGGTAGGGATGGCCCTATTTCAAAATTAACCAATGATGAAATGCATTAATTCCTTCTAAGTACTTCAAACGAATTGGGCATTTTCAGTCAAGTAAGTGATGCCAACAGATGTATGTAGGGAAGGCAACACTCTCTCCAAGAGAAAACAGCAGCACAATACCTCATGACTTAGCAGGTATGCACTGATCGGCTGTGGACAGTCCAAACATATTCAGTGTCACGTATGATTGCCCTATAGTGTTTTGCTGCAAAGGGGCTAAGACAACCAATTGTTTTTTGGCTTCCATATTGTATTCTGGCAAATTCTCAGAAATTAAAAATTCCCTTGTAGTAACAGAATTTTTCAGATATGGATTGATTTTAGTTTCTTCTTTAAAATCTGTGGGTTCTAGAACCTGGTCTCTCTCATTTTCTTTGGAATTCTCAATTGAAGAATGCTGGGACTCACATAAGCCCTCTCTTGATATTTCTAGCTGCTGATTTTGGATTTTTCTGGTAGGCATCAAAGCTGAAAGCAGTGTTTGCTCTGTAACTATGTATGGACTTGATAGTGATAGTGGTTTTACAACTTTATGTGCTTTACCATATAAAATCTTGTTAGGTTCTTTATCCATGTCCTTTATACAAACATTTGTATGTTTAGAATCATAGTTCTCATGGCCTTTCACTAATAATGCAGAATGGTCTTCATCAGGAAAGCATGATTCCAAAACACTGATGTCTTCGGGATGTACTGTCCCATCCTCAGACTGTACTTCCTTCAGAGATGGGTTATTCTGTCAGCACAAAAAGGAGACACTTGAAACTTACATCACTACAAAAGAAGGTACATTACAAAGACCTTTTTAAAATGTACCTGTCTCTTCAGCTCTGTTCAAGTCTTTACGTTTAAGAAGCCATTTAATTAAACCGTGGCATGCACTTCTCTTGAACTACAGTGCTCGTATGAAAATGGCAGTGTGAAGTACCATATTTATTGTCCCAATGATTCCATATCAAATTTTCACAGTTCACTGGTAAATTGACTGTTTTCTAACTGTCAAGCCCTGCAAACTCAAACTGTGCCAGGAATCAGGCTAGAAAATAGCCATTTTGCATCTGATGATCAGTAATTCTACAAGCAAAATTTCCCAAGTTATGCCCTTTTAGTAGCATCTGTCCTACAAATTTCAACGAATGCTACAGAGACAAATTAAAATGGATTTAGTGACAAAGCTGAAGATATGTTAATATGACAAGATCCAAAAAGGAACAGGTGAGTTGGACTGACTCTGCTCTTTGTGCCATTGGGTGGCGAAGATGGGGACACGGGTAAAGCAAAGCACAGAGACTGCTGATCCAAAGATTCCAATGTCAAATATATTTGCACCAAAAGTAGAATACACAGAGACAGGCATTCAGAGAAGAACCTTTCTCTTAGTCCTCCACAGGAAAGCTGAGAGAGCCTAGGAAATTTTTTTTAAAATGGTTACTTACCTTCATAACTGTTGTTCTTTGAGATGTGTTGCTCATATCCATTCCACGTAGGTGTGCGCACAACGCATGCACACGTGGTTGGAAGTTTTCCCCTTAGCAGTACCCGTTGGGGAGCCCCCGCTGGAGTGGCACCAGTATATCAGCTAATATATAGCCCAGCTGGCCCTCCACTCCCTTTGTTCCTTCTTACCTGACTACTCCAAAGGGGAGGTGGGTGGGATTTGGAATGGACATGAGGCAGCGCATCTCAAAGAACAACAGGTACGAAGTTAAGTAACCATTTTTTCTTCGAGTGAATTCTCATGTCCATTCAATGTAGATGACTCCAAAGCAGAAACCCAAGGAGACAGGGTTGGAGTTTTAACTTTCAGCCAGTTGGAGGACAGCCCTCCCTAGGGCTGTGTCCTCCCTAGCCTGATGACCCGGTGCATAATGATTGGCGGAAGTGTGGACTGACGACCATGTGGCAGCCCTGCAGATGCTCAGGATCGGGGCCTGGGCCATGAATGCTGTAGAGGAGGCCTGAGCCTTGGAGGAGTGGGTCATGAGGGGAGGGGCACCTCAGCCAGCCCATAACACTCCTTGATACAGGACATGATCCACGAAGAGATCCTCTGTGCAGACATGGGCCAGAAAATATACACTACCTTAGCAAAAGCCAACTTCAGGAAAAGATTGATAAGAATGAAATCAGCACCCTGCTTGCTCTGATGGCTGCTGTCATGGTAGAGATCAATTTGTTTTAATGAATTGGAAGGGAAGCGGTAAGAAGAATTAAGTGAGATTCTTTTGCCTTACCACTGGCACGTATTTCTCTACGTCTGTTAAAGAAAACAATAATATGAAGTCCTTAAGCACAGCCGCCACCTCCGCCTTGCAGAGGTGGAAGGGGGTGCAGGTGCTCAGGCTGCATAGGGCACCAGAATTGGTAGGGATGGCCCTATTTCAAAATTAACCAATGATGAAATGCATTAATTCCTTCTAAGTACTTCAAACGAATTGGGCATTTTCAGTCAAGTAAGTGATGCCAACAGATGTATGTAGGGAAGGCAACACTCTCTCCAAGAGAAAACAGCAGCACAATACCTCATGACTTAGCAGGTATGCACTGATCGGCTGTGGACAGTCCAAACATATTCAGTGTCACGTATGATTGCCCTATAGTGTTTTGCTGCAAAGGGGCTAAGACAACCAATTGTTTTTTGGCTTCCATATTGTATTCTGGCAAATTCTCAGAAATTAAAAATTCCCTTGTAGTAACAGAATTTTTCAGATATGGATTGATTTTAGTTTCTTCTTTAAAATCTGTGGGTTCTAGAACCTGGTCTCTCTCATTTTCTTTGGAATTCTCAATTGAAGAATGCTGGGACTCACATAAGCCCTCTCTTGATATTTCTAGCTGCTGATTTTGGATTTTTCTGGTAGGCATCAAAGCTGAAAGCAGTGTTTGCTCTGTAACTATGTATGGACTTGATAGTGATAGTGGTTTTACAACTTTATGTGCTTTACCATATAAAATCTTGTTAGGTTCTTTATCCATGTCCTTTATACAAACATTTGTATGTTTAGAATCATAGTTCTCATGGCCTTTCACTAATAATGCAGAATGGTCTTCATCAGGAAAGCATGATTCCAAAACACTGATGTCTTCGGGATGTACTGTCCCATCCTCAGACTGTACTTCCTTCAGAGATGGGTTATTCTGTCAGCACAAAAAGGAGACACTTGAAACTTACATCACTACAAAAGAAGGTACATTACAAAGACCTTTTTAAAATGTACCTGTCTCTTCAGCTCTGTTCAAGTCTTTACGTTTAAGAAGCCATTTAATTAAACCGTGGCATGCACTTCTCTTGAACTACAGTGCTCGTATGAAAATGGCAGTGTGAAGTACCATATTTATTGTCCCAATGATTCCATATCAAATTTTCACAGTTCACTGGTAAATTGACTGTTTTCTAACTGTCAAGCCCTGCAAACTCAAACTGTGCCAGGAATCAGGCTAGAAAATAGCCATTTTGCATCTGATGATCAGTAATTCTACAAGCAAAATTTCCCAAGTTATGCCCTTTTAGTAGCATCTGTCCTACAAATTTCAACGAATGCTACAGAGACAAATTAAAATGGATTTAGTGACAAAGCTGAAGATATGTTAATATGACAAGATCCAAAAAGGAACAGGTGAGTTGGACTGACTCTGCTCTTTGTGCCATTGGGTGGCGAAGATGGGGACACGGGTAAAGCAAAGCACAGAGACTGCTGATCCAAAGATTCCAATGTCAAATATATTTGCACCAAAAGTAGAATACACAGAGACAGGCATTCAGAGAAGAACCTTTCTCTTAGTCCTCCACAGGAAAGCTGAGAGAGCCTAGGAAATTTTTTTTAAAATGGTTACTTACCTTCATAACTGTTGTTCTTTGAGATGTGTTGCTCATATCCATTCCACGTAGGTGTGCGCACAACGCATGCACACGTGGTTGGAAGTTTTCCCCTTAGCAGTACCCGTTGGGGAGCCCCCGCTGGAGTGGCACCAGTATATCAGCTAATATATAGCCCAGCTGGCCCTCCACTCCCTTTGTTCCTTCTTACCTGACTACTCCAAAGGGGAGGTGGGTGGGATTTGGAATGGACATGAGGCAGCGCATCTCAAAGAACAACAGGTACGAAGTTAAGTAACCATTTTTTCTTCGAGTGAATTCTCATGTCCATTCAATGTAGATGACTCCAAAGCAGAAACCCAAGGAGACAGGGTTGGAGTTTTAACTTTCAGCCAGTTGGAGGACAGCCCTCCCTAGGGCTGTGTCCTCCCTAGCCTGATGACCCGGTGCATAATGATTGGCGGAAGTGTGGACTGACGACCATGTGGCAGCCCTGCAGATGCTCAGGATCGGGGCCTGGGCCATGAATGCTGTAGAGGAGGCCTGAGCCTTGGAGGAGTGGGTCATGAGGGGAGGGGCACCTCAGCCAGCCCATAACACTCCTTGATACAGGACATGATCCACGAAGAGATCCTCTGTGCAGACATGGGCTGCCCCTGCAGCCTCTCTGCAATTGCTACAACGAGCTGTGGGGACTTACGGAAGGGTTTAGTTCTTTCCAAATAAAAGGCTAAAGCTCTCCTAACATCTAAAGTGTATAATGCCTGCTCCTTACCCAAAGCATGGGGCTTGGGATAAAAAAAGCGGGAGAAATATCTAGGGACATATGAAATTGAGATACCACCTTCGGAAAGAAGGCCGATAATCTGACCTTAGCCTTAAAAAAAACTGTGTATGGGAGGGTCTGAGGTGAGGGCCCTTAGCTCAGACACATATCTGGCTAACATGATAGCCACCAGGAAAGACACCTTCCAAGAAAGGTGCAGCAGCGAGTATATCACCAAAGGTTCAAAGGGAGGCCCACGAGTTTGGACAGGACCAGGCTGAGGTCTCATTAGAGGATGGGTTGACGAACATGCAGATAAAGTCTGTCCAACCCTTTCATGTACTTTGGGATCCACAATGAGGTCCGGGACCAATGGGAGCATGATCGGTCTCTCACAGGACAGGCTCAGGAGAGACATGAACCAGTGCTGCCTGGGCCGAACCAGTGCAATGAGGATCAGGGATGCCCTGAATTCCCAAACCTTGTGGGCCAGCGGGAAAAGTGGCATAAAGGAAACCTTCGGGCCAGGGGGTAAGAAAGGCATCTCCTAGGGATCCCTGCTCCAGCCCTATGAGGGAACAGAACCTCAGGCACTTCCTGGTTCACCTGGTGGTAAGCAAGTCCAGAAGGCGGCTCCCCTGAAGAGGGATGGGGTAAGAGGATGGGAGGGAGAGAGGGGATGGTGTACCTACCATTTCCAGGACCCAACAGTCCAAGGTGATGTATTCCCAAGCCTGGTAGAAAGAGAATAAGTGATCCTTGAACAGGATAGGCATGGCTGGTAAGCTGTCCTTGAGCATACCCTCAAAACCCTTGATGGAGGTCTGGGGGCTTGTTGGATGGGCCCTGTCCATGGTCTGGGGCCGGGTGGGATCGGAGTCTGCCATTCCTCCCATTGCTATTTCTCCTTTGGTGGGAGAAATCGGGATGGGTGCCCTGCTGAGAGGGCCTACAGATGATTAACCGGGGCATGAATTCCAAGGGACTTTAAAGTAGCCCAGGTGTCCTTAAGACCATGCAGATATTGGTCTGTTTGGAGGTCTTGAATGGTGGTCTGGAGCTCAGGGGCCACTCCAGATACCTACAGCCAGGAGCTGCAATGCAGAACCAGCCCCATGTCCATAGTACGGGCAGCTGCATTGGTCGCATCCAGGATGGTCTGGAGCCAGCCTGGGAGACCACCCTGCCCTCTTCCACTAGGGCTCCAAACTCAGACCTAGATTCCCTAGGGACCAACTCGGCAAACTTACCCATGTTTGCCCAGATGTTATAGGCATAGTGACTCAACAGAACCTGCTGGTTTGCTATGTGAAGTTGAAGACCCCCAGACGCGTAGGCCTTTTTGCCCAAAAGATCCACTTTCTTGGTGTCCCTACGCTTACGGGTGGTGCCTGGCTCACCCTCCCTCTCCCTCTGGTTCATTGCCTGAACAACCACGGACCATGGAGTGGGTGAGAAAATAGATATTCATTCTCCTCCTGTGGAATGAAATACCTCTGCTCAACCCTCTTGTCCATCTGCGGGATAGAGGCCAGGGTCTGCTACAGAGACTTTGTGATCTTGGTCACAGTCTTATTAATCGGCACAGCCACTCTGGTAGGGGTGTCGGCCTGCAGGATGTTGACCGTAGGGTCTGAATCCTCCGACATCCTCTCCACCTGGACTCTCAAACTCTGAGCCAGTTGGTGAAGGATTTCCTGATAGGACCTCATGTCCATGGAAGGGAGAGAGAGACACACCAAGTGTCTCATCAAGCGAGGAGGATGAGGATCCCTTCATGCCCACTGCCTCTGGATCCCAAGCTTGCAATGGGGCTTGTGAGACCACCAAAGAGGCCGCAGTAATGGGTTGTGTAGTGGGAGGCCCCCTTTCCTGGTGATGTTCTGGGGAAGCCTGGCCAAGGGGAAGGGACTGACCCAACATTGGGGAGCAGGTCAGCAGAGTTGCCAAGGGTGGAGCCCTCAGCCCCAAGAAGACCTACTTTGGTCTGGATAGAATTGCCCCCTGACACTGATGATAGGCCCAAGCCACTGGGTTAGCACCTGCACCTCATTGTGGCCAATGCTGCTGTAACACCAGCACCGGTGTAAGTGGAGGCCACTGACACTGCTGGTGGTGCACTGAGGCACTACGATGCTGAGTAAGACTGATGTCTGGATCGAGACCTGGAGTCCCCGGTCTGTTGAATACTCTGAGGTTGACCATGGTGGTGCAGTAGCAGTGACAACAGGCAACCTCCTGGATAGGGTGTACTGAGCCATTTACTCTGTTTTCCCCCCAGTGTCGAGAAGGAGGCAAAAGCACGGCCAGCTGCAGTGCTGATGCACTGAAAGGAGAAGGGCTGCTGGTTGCCGGACCCGGTGCTGCAGCCTGTGCCACCCTAGGCCCATGTATTGGTGCTGACTCCCATGTCAGTGCCAGTGCCTGAGAAGGGGTGGGGGGCTACAGCCGGTGCCAAGGGTGGAGTCGGTGCCACACCCAGGACTGGAGTCAAGGTTATTGGCACCATGTTAGGACAATGGGACCCTCTAGTGTCTGGGGCTGGAGCGCTAGGTGCCAAGGCCATGGGGTAGTGCTATCTGGATCCTTGCTCCTTGGTTGGGTCGGGGGTTGGGGAAGAGATCACTCAATTAGCTCTCTTGTCTCAAAGGAATCCAGAATGAAGGGCTCCAGAAAGACCCCCCACTGGCTGGCATCACAGCATGGGCCCAAACAGTGCCGATCCAACCACAAAGGTCCTGGTGCTGTGCCCATCGGTGCCATGTACTCCACTTGAGAGCGCACAGAGGGCACATGCCTCAAGGGAGACCTGCTCCTGCTAGGTCTCCTCTTCTTCTAAGGCACCGGGACTGCAACCTGTGCCGAGGCCTGCACGGCCCTGGGAAGGCACAAGAATAGTTAGGTGCCTCATTCACTGACACCAATGCGCTCTGGGTTGCCAGTGCCGGACTGGACGCCAGTCCCATACGTAAGGCCACTTCCTTGAGGATAATCTTCAAGCGAGATTCCCTTTCCCATTTGGTACACGGCTTGAAGACTTTGCAGATCCTACAGCCCTTGGGCAAGTGGGCCACTACCAGGCACTTAAGATGGGCTACGTGAGGGTCCTTGCAGGGCATAGGCTTCTGGCACTTCTCACAAGGCTTGAAGCTGTGAGGTCCAGGCATGTCCCACCAGGCGCACCAGGGACACAAAGCAAGCCCTACATCTGAGCACTGAAAACTAAGAACAACACTTAACAGCTAATAAAACCTTAGATAAAAACAATAACTGCGAACTCTTTAACTAGTGAAACAACGAGAAGAACTGCTAAGAGCCACTTGCAGAGCAAAGGCATGTTCCAGTGACCATCACGAGGGGTAAGAAGGAAACAAGGTGGTGGAGGCCCAGCAGGGATATATATTAGCTGATATACCGGCACCACTTCAAGGGGCTCCCGTGCTGGTCCAATGGGTACTGCTAAGGAAAAAACTTCCGATGACGTGTGTGTAATAAGATGAAGGCCTAGAACATAAGTCCATATAGCACAGGTCTGGACTGAGGCCTACCTAACAACAGACAAAACATGGCTAACAAAGCAAAGCTAAGCTATGAGCAAGAGGCAGGCCCCTGCTCACAGAACTTGGCACGAGCAGGGCTGAGAATGCAAAACAGTAGTTGGTAATAGACCCAGGTGTAGCAAAGTAATTGGTACTGGTCATAAGTGGAAAGCACTTGGTACCACCAGCTTATTAAAAAAGACCTTGGTATCCACTCTTCACAGATACCGACCCATGTTCAGGAAAGAGTCTAAAATGGATAGAGATGATCTAATCAAACCACAAGGTGCAGGGTGATGGGTGGCATCTAAGTAGTGTTAGAGGATGGTAACCAGACAACACCAGAGGGTGGCAACCTGACATGTAGGCAGTGATGTGTAAGTTGGTAGTACCTGTATATAAAGTGGTGTCTTGAGGGGACAGTCTTTTAATGACAGAGGGCTAGTGAAATTTTCCATTGATTGAGTCATTCCATTGTTACGGGATACATATAGAGTCTACTGACAACTATTACTGTACTTCACTTAACAATAAACCTGGCCTGGCATCCTTATCTGGTTTGTGGTCTTTGGGGGCTCTCCTGGGATCTGCTGTGCAGACTAAGTGCACAAGTCGACACGACTCACATAATTGTGAACACATGCAAGCAGCCTTCTGGTTATCATCATCAGCGGAGCCAGAGCCCTGCAAGGACACCTCAGCAATAAATCCTGACCCCTCCCAAATAACTACAGCGTGCATGCAGCATGCGCACATCTACATGGAATGGACATGAGCAATCACTGGAAGAACTGAGAACTAAGGGTGACAAAGAAACAGGGCCATCCCAACCAATCCTGATGCCCTACGCAGCCCAAGCACCTGCACACACACACTGGGGGGGCCTACATTCAAGAACTGTAGGGGTAAAAACTTTGCAAGTGGCAGGAATAAGGCAGGAAGACTGGCTGACCTGATGGCAGGGGGGAGAAGTAGGAGGTGCAAGGGAGTGGCAAAGGGCATGAGCAGTGTTTCTCCTTCCACTAGAAGGGGAAACAGCTGGTTAGCGAGAGCTGAACTGAGTAAAGCATGTGGTGGGGAGAAGGCATGGGGCTGACCACTGGAGCCTGCACCTGCCACTGCCTATAGCACCATGAATTTGTGGCAGTTTGATGCCCCAGATTTCATGGTACCCAGATTTCATGGTACCCTATACAGATGTGAATTTTGCTTATCATTAGGTCTAGCACTGCAAAGAAGCATTCTAAGACCTTCTCAGAAGCAGGCATTCAGACTCCTGCATACCTGTTATCTCCCTTGATTGGTCAAGCTAAGACATTTTTCATGGGTGTTTTGTCAGTTTTTGCTAAGTTTATCTTTTATCTTTCTCTGCAACAAAACTTCCCACAAGTGTAAACATCTGACAGTTTTATTAATATGGTGTGTTTACACCTATTCTATAAATTTTGTCTTGTAAAAATGCTATCTTTTTAAACCTGCTACTTTGATTGATATTTTAGGATGTAAACATTAAGGTATGTTGTAATCTGGAAAGAATACGTAAATTACTTCAGAGATGACTGGCCCACTTAACATCTCCTTCGAGACAAGATGGGAAAAACAAACTACATGAGCACAACATATCTAGCAATATCAGAAAGTAGTAAATATAGGTGCCTATAGAGGTATCTATGAAAGAATTTTACCTATAGTCAAATTCATCCAGTTAGAGCATCATTAAAATCATTACTGATTTAATGAAGCTAGTCCATCATGCCTCAATTGTTTATCAAACATTTTACTGATTTACCCACGACAAATTTGTTTTTCTTAACATCAAACTTATATTACCTTATGCACGTCAGTAGGCCACTTCCCAGCAATACTCTTTGCAGGATCTGGTATATCAGGCCAACAAACATTTTTCACCCTGCAATTAAGAAAGGCAATTTGGCCATTTGGTGTAGGAATTGTATCATGACTGACATGATGAATTCATAGGAATGCTGTACTAGTACATGAATGAATTAAATGCAGAACATGTTTAGCCAGGAATACAATGGTGAACATTTATCAAGGGAAATCGTTCCTCTATATTTGTTATCTAGTTATTATAAGGGGCACTGCTTACCCTCAAGCCAATTCTTCTAGGCTAGAGAAAAACTGTTTAAAAGCAGTAGCAATGTGTTACCTAAAACCTGAATTTTTGGTTTAAACCAATGTTTACCACTAAATACTGAAAATGAAGGTACATTTGTAATTATTCAAGCTACAAAAACCCAAATCTTTATAACATGCCTAAATTAGAATCATAGAATCATAGAATAATAGGACTGGAAAGGACCTCGAGAGGTCATCGAGTCCAGCCCCCCGCCCTCAAGGCAGGATCAAGCTTGAAGTGAGTCTGGGTTATTTCTTAAGGTAAGTCCTCAAATATTAAGTTAACTCCTTTGAGTTAACCTAGCTCAAGTGAAAGTTAACCTAGCTCAAGAGAAAGCAGCCACAGTGAACAACAATACAGGAACTCCAGAGTGTGGTTTTATTAGCAACTGGTGAGCTGTGCTGGCTTGCGCTGGAGTCTATACCTAAAGCTATGACTGTCACGGATGCTATAATTTTATGAGATGTCTGCAAGTCCTTGAAATTTCCAAGCATTAGATTTGGGGGGTGGGGGAACAAACAAGAAATAACTTTTTTTCCCTTCAAAATCTACAGTAAAGTGTTGAAAATACCATTTTCTGCACAGCTGTTGCTAGGGCCACTGTCGGGGGCCCTGCACAAAGAAGAATTATGGGTGGCAGGGTTCAGGTTTTGGCTTCAGCTGAAGCCTGGTCCCCACCACCTGTAACTTAGCTACACCAAGTCACCTGTGGCCTGGGACCTTGGTTAATTGTATTGATGGAGTGAAAACTGCACACCGTGTGTATATTTCTGTGAATTATTGCCTGTATCCCATTCATAACTTTTAATAAAAATACCTGTGCCAAAACCATAGTCTTACCAATACCCACAAGATGCAAGCCAACTTGAGTGAAGAGCTTGTGTGTGTGCAGGGGCGGATGAGAGTGCCGCGGGATCCAGAGCAGCACCGCGGGGCCCCAGGCAGCGAAATTTCGTGGAACCCTTTGACACGGCGCATGCGTGGGGCCCGGGGCAGCCGTCCTGCTCACCTTGCCCTAAATCCGCCACTGTGTGTGTGGATGACATTTTAGCTAACTCTTCAACAAAAATATGCCTTTAGTGTCTTGAACACCATCAAGCTTCTCTGAGAAATAGGCTGATCATGAGAAAAAAAAAACTATTTCCAAATCAACACCCAGCTGTCTGTGGCAGTCAGAAAAAAAATAAAATTAGAATTTACATGGCAACATAATTTGAACAGTAGGCGCTCCCAGCCAAAATAGAGCAGAGCTGGTTCCTTAATTTATATATACAAAAGCACATAAAACCACTTTAATAACAATTAAAATAGCTAAAATCAGCTTTGTGAGTGCTTTAAAAAGATAAACAGAGTTGCTGCCAGTATCAATTATATCCTTGAACCCATACATGTGTGTATAACTTTATTCACATTTAAGTTCCTCTGAAGCCTATGAACTACTAATACGAGTAAACTTAAAAAACAGCAAATGGTCTGGTAGCACTTTATAGACTAACAAAACATGTAGATGGTATTGTGAGCTTTTGTGGGCACTGCCCACTTCTTCAGATGACTGGAGTTTTGAGTTTAGGATGTGTAGACCCAAAACCAAAATGGGTCGACACATCCTAAACTCAAAACTCCAGTCATCTGAAGAAGTGGGCAGTGCCCACAAAAGCTCACAATACCATCTACATGTTTTGTTAGTCTATAAAGTGCTACCAGACCATTTGCTGTTTTTTAAGTTTATCCTGTACAGACTAACTCAGCTACCCTCTGAAGCTAATATGAGTAAAGTTAGGGAAATACTTCGCTTTTTGCAGGCTCGGAGTCTAAAGATATAAATTTCAACAAATCAGTACATTTCCTTAACTCGATATGGATTTGAATCTTGAACAAGCGAACACTTTTAGAATAAAAATACTAGCCTTTTATGTGTTAAAATGCATTATTTTCTCTTTTTACAAGTACACAAAAATTTACTCACATGTGTTTTTTTAGAGTACAGGTTGTCCCTAGGATTAACAGAAGAATCATACAGAGTCCAAATGGTATCGTTATAAAAATAAGGTCATCATCACCTTTTGAGAAAGAACAAGCATTTAAACATTTCTTAGTATATTACAATACAGAGCAAATTTTTAATTTCAGACTGTACTAATAGAGCCACCCTATTAGCATGTTTCTATTGTCAGTTGGTCAAGGATGTGACAACCAAATCTTTTATAAATTGTGCTAAGTAATGTGTATTTTGCAGATCAAACTACTCACTACTAGAGTTGGGTAAACAACAGATTTTTTGGTTTGTATAGCAAACAAACAAAAATCGAAACAAATAGTTCTTCTTCAAGTGGCCCCGCGGGTGCACCACTCTATGTGTCGGGTCCCATCCCGGCGCCGCGGCTTGGAGACTTTTCATAGTCGTGCTTCGCTGGCTCGCGCATGCGTGCTTCCTCAGGATAGTGTTTGCACCTTTGATCAGCCATGCGCGAGCCGGCAACCCTCAGTTCCTCTCAACCGCCTCAGGTCGCGGTCGGAGCTCCCTGAACTCTTTCTTCAGTGATGTTTTTAGATAGTTTTCTATCTGTAAATAGTTCAAGTTTAGTGTTAGTTGTGTTCCTGTTACTTGTTGTTCTGTTTAAAAAGAAAAAAAAAAAAGAAGTTTTCCTCTCAAAACCGTTTTTCTTTGAAAAGCGCTGCAGCAAAGCGCTAAAGTGGTGAAATTGACTACCCACAACGAGGATTACACAGGCATTCAGTTTCTCTAACTGTGCTGACAATACCTGGATCAACTGGCTTTAAAAAATGCTCAGTGTGCCGTGAAGGCATGCCAACAGCTGACAGCCATGATACTTGTATCAGGTGCGTGGGGGAAGTTCATGTCCCTGAAAAGTGCACCCATTGTCACAAGCTAACCTCAAGAGCCCGGAGGGAGCGGGAGATGAAGACAAAGATGTTAAAGTTCTCTCCCTGCGGCAGCCACATCATCAGCAGGGGCTTCCAAGGTGACCCCTGGGGGGTCTGGACAACTTGCTGGGGCTGGTATGAGAGAACCCCCACCACCCAGAGTGAGAGCGGCTTCGGCGCCGGCATCGGGAGCGGTGCCGCAGCTGGCTGGCAAGTCTGCACTGGCCTCAGCTGTGCATTCTGTGAAATTGATGCCAGTGCCGCAATGCCACTTGGCACCAGCTTTAGCGCCACCGGCTGTAACAGTGCCTGCCTCACCAGCCCTGATGATAGTAATGGCACCGTCCCCTCTGGCACCGGTATCCGAGGCAGAACACTTCAATGCCTCAGACTCCGCACTGCTGTTAACCCCAGCACTGGGCATTCTACTGTTAACCCCGGCACCGGGCATTCTACCAGCACCGGCATCAGCGCAGCAACAGCTGATTTCCCTGGCACTGCTTCATTTCCACTCAGTGCCTGGCTCCCCTGTGGCTGTGGGGATGGATGAGGCTTCAAGACCTAGGAAGTCATTGTCAAAAACCCATTATAGGGACAGGTCTTTTTCTCCAGCTGTTTCACCAGGAAGGCATGGTCGCTATCGTGACTATAATGTTTCTCCTTCACGGATCACGTACAGCTGGCGTAATTATAGGGACGCAGTGTATTTAGAGGCACATCGGTCCCATTCACGATCTCGTTCACCCTCCCGATTTTCAAGGTATGGGTCTGTTAGACGCTCTCCATGTCGCATCTATTATATGGTAGTGCACACTCCTCTCGACACTCCTCACCGTCACGTTCTGAGCAGTATTATGAGTGCCTTCCTGATAGATCATATGACGATCATATGACGTCATAGATCATATGATGATCGTCCCCAGCGTGACCATACACCATCATCGCGTAGGGGATCTTCCTACATCTGCCAACCACCAACAGCAGAATACTTACCTCACGATCACAACACCTAGACTCACCTTCTCCAGCTAAGAGTCCAACGATTCAACTAGACCAATCCGAACCGGAAGAGGGACAGTTGTCTGAAGCAGAAGACCCTAAACCGGAAACTTCTCCAGCAGACTGCTCCTCGTCTTCCCTGGATGAGGCGATATGCCCAGGTGACATCTCCCCACCAGATGATCTGAAACACTTCCAGGATCTCTTCAAACGAGTGGCAGGCATGCAGGAAATACAGCTGGCGGATGTTCAGGTTAAAAGGTACAGTCTCTTGAAAAATCTCTGCTCACAACAACATGCAAAGGTCGTGTTACTGATTGATCATGGAAGTGGCAGATGAGCTATGGCAAACCCCAACACTGGTTACACCTACGAGTAAAAAGGCCGACAGAAAATATTTTGTACCGGCGAAAGGATTGGACTTTTTATTCAATCACCCTCAGCCTAACTCATTGGTAGTAGATGCAGCACAACGTAGGAGTAAGCGCCACAGTACAGAAATACGCTTCTGGACAATAAAAAATTAGATATTTTTGGTAGGAAAGTTTACTCCTCAGCCACACTGCTACTACGCATTGCAAACTATTCGGCCCATCTATCGAACCATAATTTTGATAATTATTCAAAACTCGCAGAGTTACTGCACCATCTCCCAGACAACAAGAAACCACTCCTGAAAGCAATAGTACAAGAAGGGTACGTATCATGTAGCACTGCACTACAGATTGCCATGGATGTGGCTGACACAGCAGCTCGAGGCACTGCTACAGGTATCACCATGAGGAGATCATCATGTCTTTCGTCAGCAGGGGCTCCGAGGGAGATGCAAAACCAGGTTGAGGATCTACCGTTTGACAAGCTTAAGCTCTTTGCGGCAAACACCGATGAAGTCCTTCACTCGGGAAAAGACTCACGCACCACTCTACGTACACTTGGGATGTACACACCTTCCTTCAAATGTAGACGTTATTTCCCTTACCAACAGAGATACGATTTTAATTTTTCTAAACAGCAAGCACGTCCCTTCAACAACCAGCATACTAGGCAACGCCCTCAGCGCAAGCAGCCACAACAGAGCCATTCGACCAATCAGTTGTCGACTAAGCAGCAGATTTGACTTGCTTGTCGAGGATGCAAGCCAACCGCCCATAATCAACACGGAAAATGAAACTTTTCATCTTTTTCACCATAGCCTACGATCATTTTATCACCAGTGGTCCGACATCACCACAGACAGATGGGTGCTAGAGGTAGTACAGTCTGGCCTCTCCATCCCCTTTCTTGATTTCCCCTACCACTCCTCCTACCCCGTCCCTCTTCAGGGACCCCTCTCACGAGTAACTGCTGAAGCAAGAAGTTCAACGTTTGCTCACCATTGGGGCGATAGAGAGAGTTCCCAAACAGTTCTGGGGAAAAGGCTTTTATTCCCGATATTTTCCACACACCAAAGAATTGGGAGGCTGGAGACCCATTCTAGACCTTCGAAAGCTAAACCAGCACCTTCAAAAGCATAGTTTCAAGATGGTAACCTTATCAACTATTATTCTGTCGTTGAACAAAAGGGATTGGTTTGCAGTCCTCCACTTGTAAGACGCCTATTTCCACATAGCGATTCACATGGCTCACAGGCGTTTTCTTCGCTTCCAGTTGGGGGACGAGCACTATCAGTACAGGGTTCTACCATTTGGACTAGCGTGTGCTCCCAGAGTTTTCACCAAAACATTAGCAGTGTTCGTGGTCCACCTGCACAGACTGGGGATGACAATATTCCCCTATTTAGACGATTGTCTCCTCAGGGGCACGACGTATATGGAAACGTGCCATATGGTTCAGACAGTATCCGACGAATTTGTTGCTCTCGGCCTTCTCATAAATGTAAAGAAGTTGTCACTAGTTCAATCCCAAAACCTCATTTTCATTGGTGCACGACTCAATTCAACCATGGCACAAGCATATTTACCAATGGAACGTTTTATGGTAATCGAAGACCTGGTACACTGTGGTGCATGCGCCAACAATTCCCACACGCTTTTGTCTACAGCTGTTGGGGCATATGGCTGCCGCCACCATCATAATGAGCAACGCAAGGTTACGTTTTCGTTGTCTTCAGCACTGGTTAGCCAGGGTTTACATTCTGGTGAAACACTGTTCACAGGCCGATAGTGGTGCCACAGTGTGTCCCGGAGTCCCTACAGTGGTGGGCCAACCCGGCCAATCTTCTCACGGATGTTCCATTTCATCGTCCGCAACCTACAACACAAATAACTACAGATGCTTCCCTGATGGGTTGGGGAGCTCACATGGGCAATCTCACGGTCCAGGGATGCTGGTCGTCACAAGAAATGCTACTGCATATCAATGTGCTCGAGTTGAGAGCGGTGCGGCATGCTTGCAAGCATTTCCAGTTGCACATTCAGACTACAACGTCCAGGATTCTAATGGACAATGCGGTGACCATGTTTTATATCAACAAACAAGGAGGTGCCCGATCCCGTTCTCTTTGCGCAGAGAGCATCCGTTTATGGAATTGGTGTATCAACAACACCACCGTTCTAACAGCTTCGTATCTTCCAGGTGTCGACAACTTAATAGCGGACTCTCTCAGCAGGTGTTTTCCACACAACCATGAGTGGGAGGTTCGCATGGATGTGGTGACTCGTATATTTGCTCGATGGGGATTTCCAGCCATAGATTTATTTGCGACAAAACTCAATTCGAAATGTCCCGGCTCTTGAACAATAGGCGGAATAGGATGTCACTCGCCGGGGGACGCCTTTCTTCTCCACTGGGGGAGGCTGTTACTATATGCCTTTCCCCCAGTAGTCTTAATTTCAAGGGTTCTCGAAAAAATCAACACAGACAAAGCCCAGGTGATCCTCCTAGCCCTGGTATGGGCTCATCAGCCTTGGTTCTCAATGCTCCACCAGATGTCAGTGAGAGTGCCATATCCTCTGCCTTCTCTTCCGAATTTATTGACCCAGGGCAACGGATCTCTGTCATCCAAGACCTGAAGTTCTGCACCTCACGGCATGGATGCTTGTTGGTTTACCAACTCCGAGCAATCCTGTTCTCAGTGAGTCAAGCAAGTGTTGATGCATAGTAGAAAACAGTCTACACGAACCACTTATACGGCTAAGTGGTCCAAATTCCAAGCATGGTGTGCGGATAACAATGTAGACCCTCGTTTCGCAACCCTACCTTGTATATTGGAATACCTCTTGCAGCTGCATGACAACGGCCTGGTAGTTGCATCTCTACAAGTACACTTGGCGGCAATTAATGCATTCCATCATAAGGATGGGGATGTTTCCTTGTTCGCTCACCCTACTACAAAAAGATTTCTGAAGGGGCTCTCGAATCTCCATCCCCCGCGGAGGCCTCCTCCGCCTTTATGGAATTTGGATCTAGTTCTAGAAACTTTGACTCGTCCTTCCTTTGAGCCCGTGGCTACAGTGACGTTATACTTACTTACTGTCAAACTTCTATTCCTCCTAGCCCTCACTTTGGCTCGCAGAGTAAGTGAGATAGCAGCTTTTATGGCCTCACCTCCCTGTACAGTTTTTTCTAAAGACTCGATGACATTGAGGACCCATCCAGCGTTTATCCCAAAGGTTTCTTCTGAATTCCACATAAATGAGCCAGTAATTTTACCATGTTTCTTTCCAAAACCCCATACCTCAACACAAGCAGCGCAGTTGCATATGTTGGATGTGAGAAGATCCTTAGCATTTTACATTGACAGAACACTGGGTTTTAGGAAAACAGATAGTTTGCTGGTATCATTAGCACGCCATTCAAAAGGACAGCCTCTAACTTCTCAGCGTATTTCGAGACTGATAGTTTCATGTATATCCATGTGCCACTCGCTACGAGGGAAGCCTCTCCCTTCTCTTCCGAGGGCTCATTCAACTAGGGCAGTTGCTACTACTATGGCCTTTCTGAGTGGAGTGTCCTTTCATGACATTTGAAGAGTGGCAACATGGTCTTCTAATGTGACTTATGAAACATTATGCTATAGTCAATCAATTTGTTTCAGACTCTTCTGTGACTACAGCAGTACTTAATCGTGCTGGTAGTCTTGATTCTGGAGTGTTCTAATTCTGTTCTGGATACTGCTCCAGAGTCACTTAGAGTGGAGCACCCATGGGGCCGCTCGAAGAAGAAAAAGAAGTTACTCACCCTGTGAAGTAACGATTGTTCTTCGAGATGTGCCCCGTGGGTGCTCCACGACCCGCCCTTCCTCCTCGCTCCGGAATTGTTCTTTATTTTTTCTTCCAGATGAGCAAGTGAGAGGAACCGACGGTTGCCGGCTCAGGCATGGCTGATCAAAGGCGAGAACGCTATCCTGAGGAAGCACGCATGCGTGAGCCGGCAGAGCACGGCTATGAAAAGTCTTCAAGGTGCGGCACCGGGACGGGACTCAACACCTAGAGTGGAGCACCCACAGGGCACATCTCGAAGAACAATCGTTACTTCACAGGGTGAGTAACTTCTTTTTCATTCATTTCCAACAAATGTTAAAAATCTGTCAAACTGGAAAAGTCTAGGTAGCTTCATCAAAGTGTCTCCGGGCATATCCCCTCTTTGGTCCTGTGATTAGGGCACTTTCCTGGGAAGTTGTCAATCCAGGTTTGATTCTCCTTGCTGGAGCAGTAAATTAAACTCAGTATTTTCCATTCCTACAGGAACAACTTAACTACCAGAATACATGCTAATCTGAAGTAGGCTGCTCTCAGTATCTTCTGTTGCAGCTGGTCCACTTTGTATAAATACTTAAATTACTCACTGGACCAAAGAAAAGCATGATTCTGATGCTGTAGTTTGGAAATTAAGACACTCAACTTGGGAGGCAGGAGATATGGATTCAAAACTTTCCTCTATATTAGGCAGTGTTCACCCCAAAGTAACCTTTATCTTGTGGTTTCACTGCTCAACTGGGATTTGAGAGATCTGAGTTCAAATCCTTGTTCCAGAGTGTGGATTCAAGTTTGAGTCCTCTACATGCCAGGCAAGCATCCTAGCCACTGAGCTAAAGGTTATAAAAGGACAAAAACACTCACACTGAGAATTTTCTGAAGCTTGTCCTACAAAACTTTTTCTTAGCTGAAGGTAATCTAATCAGATTTGAAAACTGTCTTGGGTCAACCAAAACAACATATTTTGGTGAACAATCTCCTAATTCAAAAAGGTTTGCCTATCTCTAGCCACAACTGCAGTGGTGTATGTGATGGACCTTTCCCAGGATCTCAAAACAGCTGCTTCCAATTTTAGCTTCTGCTTTATTCCAGCTGCTGCTCCTGTGCCACCCTCCTGCACACTGTAAAATGAACAGTAAGTCAGATACATATGGGGGAAGTCTCAAAATTTTCTGCCAGCAGAAAGGCTGGCCTTCATTGTTTCTTCCAGTTAACGTCTTGATATAACCATTTTAACTTCAGATTCCTAGCCATTCTACATTCTCCCTAGAAGGAAGAGACAAATATAGGCAGCAGGAAAACAGGGAAAAAGATCATTTTTTTTTTTTTAGCCACAAGCATGTACTCAGTACCTTATTGGACAAGTTCAATTCAGAGGAAAATGTGTTTTGTTAGCAGGGAGTTGTTCCATATGGAGGGGAAGGGGAAAAAAGATAAGAAATCTCAATGTATAAATATTCTGAGCCTACTTTCTAAGAAATATTTTCCTCTTCTGGTGATTTATTGGGCCCCAATCCTGTAATTAACATCACAGAGGTAGTCTTCTGCATGTACAGAGACACAGTCTTCCAGTGGGTATTCATGTGAGCACAGCATTCTGTCTATGCATTAACAATTGCAGTATTGGGCCCTTGGTTTTTAATCTTCTGTTGCTATGGCTTCCAATGTCTTCCAATGAGCTTAATTACATTCAAAGTATTCTTTTATTATTTTTCTTCAATGTGTTCTAACAGTCAGAAGGAAAGTACATTGGGATTGGCCGAAGAAATGTCTGAATTTTTAAAAAACCTCTCATACACAAATACTGTAAAAGCAATCACAGTGAGTATTGTAAATTACTTACTGAATTTCAATGTGCTGAAAGTTATTCTGTTTCCATAGGTTCCACCAGCTTTGGTGGCTGCCATGACATATGCAGTATACTGAGTGTTTGCTTGCAGAGACTTCAATTTGTATTGCATAACATCTGACATCACAGTTTCATCTTTTCAGGCAATTATATTATAAATAAAAAGATATACAAATTAAGCATTAACTACAATCTTGCATTTTTATTATAAATAAAAAGATATACAAATTAAGTGTTTACTACTACAATCTTGCATTTGTATAACACTGTTCACACAGAAGGATCTCAAAATGCTTTAGAGACATTTTGAAATACAATATAATTAAGGGCATCGTTGGTATGGAACACTGAACTTCTTAAACAGAATATAGCAATGCACCACCACAGTCAGGACAAAAAGTGAATAATTCTATATCCAACTGAAAATTACCACAGAGTTTAGATAAGTAAAATATAATAACCAGAGTCAATATTTTACCCTTAATAAAAGTACTATGACATCTCTGCTTTTGAAAGCTGTAGAACCTTGGTTTTAAGCCTGAACTAAAAGACAGCATTATCACCACAGAGTCCAGTACAGTCCAGACTCAATAGGAAGATTACCATCCTACGTACCTGACAATACCATTATATGCCACGCCTAGATATCTCTTGGATGTCTTCCATCCAAGTACTGACATAGACAAAAAAGATTAGTTTATGAGCTCTCAGAGAATTACAGAAAAAGGGTAAGGTAGAAAATATTTAGATCACTAACACAGGGAGGCCAAACATCAGAGAAGAACTTAAAGGAATATAATAATAATGATTGTTCATGTTTGTATAATTTCCTTTGTTAGACTATCCAAAGTATAAAGATTAACTGGGATTGCGGAATGAAATTTTTAGGGATAAGCGAATTGGTTAAGAAGTTAAGATTTTTAAATATTTGGTAAATTCTGTGTTGTATAATTTTCACAATCCTGAAATTTAATTGTTTCTGTGAGAGATTCTGTAGTCTGCCACTGGCCCACCTACAAGATGAGACCCTCATGTTTAAGTCAGAGAGGATCAGAATTGTCTTGAAAGCTTGATGGTCTTCAGGGGCACCACTCCAGTGAGCATTCTGCATAAAGCCAGACAGAGATAAGAAAGCAACAGTACATGTGGAGAGCAGGATTCTCTGTAAGGTACACGCTTGCCTGGGAGTGCACCAAGAATTTCAGTCCCACCCATTCCCTCAGCAGAACCACACAGCTGCAGCCCCAGCTGCTTCCAGGGATGGAGTGCAGGGCAGGTGGCTGCCCCAGCTCAGCAGCAGCAGCTGCTGGTGCTGGAGCCTGGGCCGTGGTGCTAATTTTAATACCATGGTCCTGGTCCCAGCTGCCGCCACACAGCCCCAGCTGCTTCCAGGACTGGCCACATGGCGAATGGCTGCCTCATGTGCTGAGACTGGAGCTGGACCACAGTGCAGCTGCTCCTGGGGTGGGGATGCAGTACTCAAAATAGCACCATGACCCTGGCTCCAGCCCCAGCACACAGGACAGCCACCCACCATGCTGCCCCGCTACCAGGTGCAGGTGTCAGGATGGCAGAAGGGAAGGGGCAGAGTGATAACTAAAAGGAAAGTGGGGGTAAGGAAAGGAAGGGGCTTGTGCTGAGGAGAGAGGAAGAGGCCATGGCAGGAGAAGAAAGGGGAAGGCACCATGGGACAGGGTGGAGGAGAGTCAAATGCCAGAGGGCCGAGAGGAGACAATGAGGGAAAAGGGCAGGAGGAGGGGGGATGGAAAAGTGTCAGTGGGGGTGGGAGGAGGAAGGGACAGGGTGATGCTGGGAAAGGGAAGAAGCAACGGGGAAGAGGAGAAGGGAGAAGTGGGTGCCAGGAGAAGAGGGGGAAAAAGGAGGGGTGGGCATGAGGAAGGCAGGAGATGGAGCAAGTCATGTGTGAGGGTGCAGGGGGCACGAGGAGAACTGGGGCAGAGGGTAGTGAGGGTGTGGGCACCGGGAGGAAGAGGGCAAGGTGCACAGATGTTGGGAGGGCAGGGGCAGCGAAGGAAGGGGGAGGTACCAGGAGGGCACAGGGGTTAAGGGAAGATATAGGTGCCAGGGAGATTGTGGGGATGAAGTAAAAGGGCAGAAATGGGGATGGTAGTGGAGGGGAAGGACTGGCACCAGAGGCAGAGGAGAGAGGAAGGGCAGGTGGGTAGAGGGAGGTGTTAGGACAAGGGATGGGCACGGGGGGGAAGCGAAGGGCAGGTGCAGGGATCAGAAAAGATGGGGAGATGGGGCAAGTCCCAGGAGAGCTGAGGGGAGTGAGAAGAGCCAAAGCCAGGACAGTAGACGAGGGTGGGGGGCAGCAGCCTGGTGCAGATGGGGAGGGTGGGAGACATGGCAGCACAGGGGAAAAGGGAGAGGTTTATAACTTAGGTGCTACAATGGCACACATCTGAACAAACGTGCATGATCTCAATATTGGTGCACAAGACAAAACACATTCCACTCAAATGAAATCTTAGAGGGAACACTGGTGGAGAGGTCTACCTATGATGGGGATAGATGCAACTTCCTTCTTCCATTTATATATTGACAAGTGTTCTCTTGGCCCCTACTGTGATGGGAGCAGCCAGAGGCAACTGAAGTTCCAGTAGAACCCACTAGTTTGAGGTCTTAAAAAAAAAAAGGCTAGAATGCCTTAAATGCCTGACAATGGTGTTGACATAAGTATTTCTGAAATAGGGAATGATGCAAAGCAGTGGAATACAGAATTACCTGTCTATAAGATAGGCAAGGACAGGGCAGATGCTAGAAGTCTGGGAATAGTGCTGTGCCTAAAAGAAGCTTATGATATAAAAGGTGTGAGTGCACAGGATCATAAGAAGACACTGTCAGAAGAATATAAATATGCTAGAATGGCTGCACTGCCAGTCTTCGGAAGAGGAAAATGTACTGAGTGTAAACTATTTAGCAAGAGGAAAAAGGCAAACAAGTCTAATAAAAGAATCACAATTGGGTGACTAAATTAAGAAAAGCAATTTGACAGCTTAAATTATTGATTCTTGGATTGATTAGTTACAGAGCACACAAGACAGACTATTTTTGACTCGGTTTTAAGCAATTGACAGGAGTTGATTCAAAATATACTACTGCAGACTACTTCTAATAGTAACAATATAGATAATTGCCATATTCTTGAGGGAGGTAGGAGGATCGTACCAAAAACTTACATTGTGATGCTAAGCTCTAGAAAGGGGATTTTTTAATATTAAAAAAAAATCCCATATTGAAACTCCAATAAATATACTTTTTCATTAATGGGTCACTGCCAATTTATAATTTGTAATTATTTAGTCAATCTTGTGTTTATAATACCATTTTAGAAGCTTGAAAACAAGTTTATCCCCATTTAGAAAACATCTGCTTCTATAGTACATTACTGCAGGGGCCAGTGACCCTTTTGTCTAGTTCTGCGTCTGACTGATGCCAGCAGATGTATAGAATTCTGAGCATAGCATTGCTACTTACCTGCTGTTACAAAGCCGTAAGACTTGAGCAATCTGCTCATAAGTACCCCCCTTTAATATGTCACGTTAATGACTAGAGGCTTGGTTGGCTATCTTGGTAACAGCCAAGTTTGTTTTTAGAAAAATGTTTGGTTTATAGAAACATCTGTTGTGATAACAGGACAATTTGTGAGTTCAACTGTAAACAATGAGTATGTTCATAAGATGTTACAGTAACAGCAAATGTGGATGGGAAAAGTTTCAGATCAGCTATTTTACAGTAAAAACCCACCAAGTAGATAGCAAATACCACAAGTTCTGACCCACAAATTTTTCACCACATTGATCCAGTAGCTGAGAGCAGGATTAATCATTCTTCCGAGAACGGGCAAAAAAATTTGAAACCCACTATTCCCAAGCGTCACATTTGATTCCTCAAAACAAAGAGGATCTATCCCTTTATAATCCATTCTGACCCAGCCTTTAGCCATTTTATTGCTCTAATGAGCACCTCCACTAACTGCGATTTGGGTGAGGTATATGATAGTGTTCATGCACAGTGATGACTGGATTAACAAGATTTTAAATAATTGATTCTTTACATTTGTGTTGTGAAACTACTGCCAAAGTTTCCCTAAATATGAGCTTCCATAGGTGGGGGAAGGGAGGGAAGAGCCATCATATCCTATGTACCACCACATTTGGATCCTATCTCCATGTGGAAGCAAAGATGACAGAGACTACCATTATTGCACTACAGCAGTGGTTCTCAAACTTTTTGGTCTGTGGACCACTTGGCTCCATGCAACCCTTTCTGTGGACCACCAGTCACAACTCACCATTAATTACATAATTATGCCCAAGCCATTTTGCTAGTGCTGCAGCTAGGGAGAACAGTTTAATTTTAATTATTGAACAGATCAAACATTTTAACTTTCTCATGTTAATTTATCAAACTTCATTTTAAATAAAGTAAAATATTAATTTATGTCCAACACAAAAGATTTCAATGTTTTCTTTGTTTATGGCAGGGGTAGGAAACCTTTTTTGTGTTGGGAGCCACTAACCCACAGAGAAATCAATTGGGAACCACACAAGTGAGAAGCAAAAAAACTCTACCCCAAAACCCCCAACCCTCACTGATGTGGCCTCCACCTGAGACACCTCACTCCTCTGGCACTCCAGCCCCACAGGGCAAGGGGATGGGACAGGGAGGACTGAGGTTCAGGGCTTCCCATAGACCAGATTTACTTTTCTGGGCTTCTTCTGGAGTTACTGGATTTTGGGGACCCCCATTGGCTCTGATTCAGTGTGTGGGACAGTGCTGCCAGTGAGTGGGATAGGGATGGGGGTATGGGATCTGGGCAGGAGGTGAAGTGAAGGAGGGGGTGAGGCCTGGGTGGGAGGTAGGGTGCAAAAGCAGTCTTGGGAATAGGGTGTCTGACCATAGGGGAGGGAGTAAGAGCAAGGGAGGATACAGTATGTATCCAGGAAGGAGGGTGCAGGAGCAACAGTGGATGCAGGAAAAAGGGGGGGTAGGTGTCTGGCCAGTGGGGAGACACAGGAGCAAGGGAAGTGCAGGAGGATGCTTGGGGCAGAGTGTTTAGCCAGGAGGGAGGGTGCAGGAGTAAGAGAGGGTATAGGAGCAATATGGGG